AAGTGAAAAAGGGAATGTTTATTTCATTCAATTTGCACTGGTAGTTATACTTGAGGTTATTTGGCAGTACAAAGGGAATTAAAAAGTACTCTAAGATAGTAAATGTGGTATTAAAACAGATAAAGGTAATTAGACAAAGTAATGGTTATTAAATGTCAAAAATGTTGAGAGTAAATTGAAATTATAGTAAAAATGGTAATTATTAATTTTAGTAAGTAATATCAATTGATAGTATTTAAAAAAATATGAGGTAGTAATATGGACAGAGAAAGTATCAATTCAGCTAATGTTTAAGCAAACAATAGTAAATAAGAAAATTACACAAGGTGACTTATGCTTACTAGTAAAATCACAAAATGAGGTAGTTGATTATTTAATTACTAAGAGATTGTACAATGAAATTTGAACAATAATGGAGCAAAACATACACTGCACTACGTAGGCTTTTAAGTTGGACATTGTTTAGTTATTCTCTGTGTGAAGATACTTGTCCAGTTTCCTCTTGAAGGCTTCTACACTTGTTCCAGCCATGTTCCTGATATCTTCTGGTAAGATGTTGAATAGTCTGGGACCCCGGATGTTGATACACTGCTCCCTTATTGTCCCCACTCCTCACTGGGTTTCTCTCTCACTCCAGTATGTTATGGCAGTGTGCAGATTTGGGACCAGGTCCTCGAGTACTTTCCAGGCACAGTGGAACCTCATTTTTCAGCCGCTGCCTTTATCGGCCAATTCGTACTTAGGCCGGTTTTTCAGTGGAAATTTTGCTCCGTATTTTGGCCGTTGCCTCGTATATCAACTGTATTAGACACGTCAGCCCGGGATGCTGCATGTAGGTGAGTCAGTCTGGAGTTTTACCTGGAGTTTACCTGGAGAGAGTTCCGGGGGTCAACGCCCCCGCGGCCCGGTCTGTGACCAGGCCTCCTGGTGGATCAGAGCCTGATCAACCAGGCTGTTACTGCTGGCTGCACGCAAACCAACGTACGAGCCACAGCCCGGCTGATCAGGAACCGACTTTAGGTGCTTGTCCAGTGCCAGCTTGAAGACTGCCAGGGGTCTGTTGGTAATCCCCCTTATGTATGCTGGGAGGCAGTTGAACAGTCTCGGGCCCCTGACACTTATTGTATGGTCTCCCTTTGTTTGTCGGAGAGTGAGCACATACTTCATGTATTCATCCAAACATTTCCTGGAAATCCACTATTTTTGGTGGGTTTTTATTAAATGCCACTGTGAAATAAGTCACCATGGGATGTATGGCAAAATCACATCAACAATCACTTCTATCCTGGCAAATAAAGAACAAATCAAGGAAGCTGATGTGGCTTGTTTGAGTGCGAATGCAAAATAAGCCACCATGGGCAGTGTGTGTAGCAGGCAAGCAGGGAGTGCAGCATGGAGGCAGGGGAGTACAGCAGGCAGGCAGGGAGTGTAGCATGGAGGGAGGGAATGTAGCAGGCAGGCAGGGAATGTAGCAGGCAGGCAGAGAGTGTAGCAGGCATGCAGGGAGTGTACCATGGATTCAGGGAGTGTAGCAGGCAGGCAGTGAGTGTAGCCTGGAGGGAGTGTAGCAGGAAGGCAGGGAGTGTAGCAGGGAAACAGGGAGTGTAGCATGGAGGCAGGGAGTGTAGCAGGCAGGCAGGGAGTGTAGCAGGCAGGCAGGGAGTGTAGCAGGTAAACAGGGAGTGTGGAAGGGAGGCAGGGAGTGTGGAAGGAAGGCAAGTAGTGTAGCAGGCAGGCAGGGAGTGTAGCATGGAGGGAGGGAATGTAGCAGGTATGCAGGGAGTGTAGCAGGCAGGCAGGGAATGTAGCAGGCATGCAGGGAGTGTAGCATGGAGGCAGGAAGTGTAGCAGGCAGGCAGGGAGTGTAGCAGGTAAACAGGGGGTGTGGAAGGGAGGCAGGGAGTGTAGCAGGCAGGCAGTGAGTGTAGCAGGCAGGCAGGGAGTGTAGCAGGCAGGCAGGGAGTGTAGCAGGTAAACAGGGAGTGTGGAAGGGAGGCAGGGAGTGTGGAAGGAAGGCAAGTAGTGTAGCAGGCAGGCAGGGAGTGTAGCATGGAGGGAGGGAATGTAGCAGGTATGCAGGGAGTGTAGCAGGCAGGCAGGGAATGTAGCAGGCATGCAGGGAGTGTAGCATGGAGGCAGGAAGTGTAGCAGGCAGGCAGGGAGTGTAGCAGGTAAACAGGGGGTGTGGAAGGGAGGCAGGGAGTGTAGCAGGCAGGCAGGGAGTGTAGGAGGCAGGCAGGGAGTGTAGCACAGAGGGAGGGATTATGCAGGGAGTGTAGTACAGAGGGATGGGATTATGGAGGAAGTGTAGCACAGAGGAGGGATATGGCAGGGAGTGTAGCACAGAGGGAGGGATTATGGCAGGGAGTGTAGCACAGAGGGAGGGATTATGGCAGGGAGTGTAGCACAGAGGGAGGGATTATGGCAGGGAGTGTAGCACAGAGGGAGGGATTATGGCAGGGAGTGTAGCACAGAGGGAGGGATTATGGCAGGGAGTGTAGCACAGAGGGAGGGATTATGGCAGGGAGTGTAGCACAGAGGGAGGGATTATGGCAGGGAGTTTAGCAGGGAAACAGGGAGTGTGGAAGGGAGGCAGGGACTGTAGCAGGCATGCAGGGAAGTAACCTCAGAGAGGGCTTTGATACCTGAAGATCTTATGGAGGGGGATTCCCCTTCCAAACAATAATCAGTCCTCAATCTCTCTCTATAAGCCAAAAGCCAACAAGAGTCTTTAATAAATGTATGTAATAGTGATTTAAATTTTTTTTTTGTTTAATTCTCATTGTTTTATGTATGTAAAACTATAATTAATCATTAAAAAATGTATTTTTTGTGAATATTTTTGGGTGTCTAGAACGGATTAATTGTAATTACATTAATTCTTATGGGAAATATTGCTTTGAATTTAGGCCGTTTCGAATTTAGGCCGACCTTCTGGAACAGATTACAGCCAAAAAAACAAGGTTCCACTGTATATATTACCATGTATCTCTCCTCCGCTCCAATGAGTAGACAACAAACTATCATTACACCTAGGGAAAACTGAAGCCATTCTCTTTGGTACGAAACATAAACTGAGAAGGGTAAATAATTTTAATGTTCAGTGTAATGGGGAGCCCATCACTTTGGTTTCATCAGTAAAATATCTGGGAATCCCCTTTGACCCATGCATGTCAAGAGAATTGATAGGGAACAGTGTAGTAAAGAAAGCGAATGCCAGACTGAAGTTCCTGTATAGACAAGCACAGTGTCTACCTACTGAGGCTCGCAGGACCCTATGTCTAGCCCTTATACAATGCCATATGGATTACGCTTGCTCTTCATGGTACTCTGCCTTGACAAAAAAACTGAAAGATAGGCTGCAAATCACCCAGAACAAAATCGTAAGATTCATCTTGGGGCTGGGACAAAGAGAACATGTAGGCCAGGATGAATTACAGCAGTTGGATATGCTGAATGTTGAAGACAGAGTAAAACAACTGAAGCTAAATCATGTTTATAAAATTGCTCACAAACAGTGTCCAGAATATCTTGCTGTCAATTTTGTCAAGGTTGGGAACCAAAGCAATCATAGTACTAGGGGGAGAGAGCACAACTTTGTAGTACCCACAGTCATTGGCCAGGCATCAAACACCTTTTATTGTACAGCAATAAAGGAATGGAACAGACTACCCACACATGTCAAAGCCAGTCATAGCATGAACCAGTTCAAGAAGAGTGCCAAAAGGTGTCTGATGAATGTAGCTACAGAAAGGGAGGGGAATGATTTTCTATTTTTTAGCTAACATACGTGTAAATTTTACCTTATTCCTAGTAATGACCCTCGTATTGTAGATAGTCTTAATGACCCTCGTGTAGTAGATAGTCCTTTAGTATGATAATAAGATGTTATCATTGTAGAATAATAAGAAAATATTATAACCTTTATATTATAATAATAAGGTAAAAGGACCCCAATGGAAATAAGTCACTCTGTCTGACTTTTTTGGGTTATCCTAGGTTCTCTACACATATGCTGCTATGTATGATAATTCACTGTAACTGTATTGTGTATACCTGAATAAACTTACTTACTTACTTATATTCAAGACTTGAAGGCATTCCCAGTAATTCAGGTGCTTTACTGGCTCAATGTTAGCCATAAAAGATCTCTGTATTTGTTCCAGCTCTGATATTTCTCCTGCTTTGAATGGGGCCGTCAGCACTGAGCAATATTCTGAGGGAGCACTAGCGATTTGAAGTGTCACCATCGGCATTAATTACCTCGTTTTGAAAGTTCTCAATACCCACCCCATCATTTTCTGTCTGTCATGATCTTTGTCTTGTATGGTACTTAAAAGAAAGGTCAGCTGACATAATAATTCCTAGGTCTTTTACATGTTCCTTTTGTTCTATTTGGTGACCCTCTTGAATTTTGTAGTGTTCCTTTTGAGTTCTTTTCTTTCCATACCTAAGCAGCTGGAACTTATCGCCATTGAACGTCATGTTGTTCTCCACTGCCCATTGGAAAACCCTGCTTTTGTCTTCCTGTAATTTTTCAGTGTCCTCTACCATAGTGACTTTCATGCTTACTTTAGTGTCATCTGCAAATGATGATACAAAAGTGTGACAGGTGTTTTTATCCATGTCTGCTATGAGGATGAGAAACAGCAGAGGTGCCAGGACAGTGCCTTGGGGCACTTAGCTTTTTACCTTGCTAATGCTGGATCTTGCTCTGTTTACTACTACTTTTTGTGTTCTGTGTTAGGAACCCGAAAATCCATCTGCCTACCTTCCCTGTAATGCCCATTTCCCTCATTTTGTGCACTATCACTTCATGATCGCATTTGTCAAATGCCTTTGCAAAATCTGTGTAAATCACATCTTTGTTTTGGTAGTCTTCCATTTTATAACATAAGTTACTATAAGCCCCAAGAGAAAACACTTATGTAAATTCCTCATGCATGTATGTGCTTCCTTTCATAAGAAAACTTTGGCAACAAAAATATAACATACCATACCTTGCACAAAAGTAGATGCACACAGCTCCAATGACTTCGAGTAGTTTCCACACACAGCTTCGTTGCATAATCTGTGGAACACCCCTCAATATGTTTTCTCTGAGTTCCATTTTCTAAGTAGCAAACAATCTTGAAATGGACTAACTTCCCTATTCTGATTTTGTCATCATATATTGCACTTTCATAATAATGTGCTACCAGATGCTCTAGTACAAGGGTTCCAAAAGAGACTTTAACACTGTTATCTTGATGTAAAAGCTCAAAACACGAATCAAGCAACAGAGGATACTGTGTTCTTGGTATGTGTTTCAAGGTTTCTAAGTTACTACAATGAGTAAATAGTTGTAGACAGTGAGAGATTACTTCAAAATCATATGGCTGGTCAAACTTTTTGATCTCTAAGACAAACAGTTGCGCTACACTATCAATCCCCTCGGTCAAGCACGACAGATGTTGACCCAGTTCATCTGATTTTTGAAAACATTCAGAAGGTATTTTGTCACAAAAGATTTCTAATGTCTCATTTATCAGCTCCAGGGCCCATATGAACTTCTTTTGATCCAAATATGGCCGAAGATAACAGTCTCTAAAAAAGTCATTAACTGGAGATAATAAGGCTAGAATATTTGAATTTTTTTCTGATACATTATCAAACCTTGAAATGTTTTCAAGAAGCAAATTTATTCCTAAAGCAATATTAACAGGGTTTATGGTTTCGGAAGTATTGAGGAATCGTTCAATGGCACACTGAATTGAGGAAAATCTATTTTGCCAAGTTTCTTGAAAAGTGCCTAGATCTTTAACAATAGCTTTCCAGAGAACTGTACCTCGACACCAACTTTCCTTCCTCCTAAAATGCCCAACAATGTCACATATTTCCAGGAAAGTAGTGACAGGGACCAAATGCTTGAAAATTGCCTTTAAAAGATCACACTGGCTAGATGACCGTAACACTATTTCTTGTGTACTGAGGCATCCTTCAAAATTTGCAACTGCACTTTTAACAACTTTAAAATTCCATACAGCAGTTTTTGGCATTAGAGCTAAGCCTCGGATTAAATAAAATAAGGGGATTGCACCCCATGATCTTCCATCAAAAATTTTTTCTATTAGTATACACATGAAATTTTTCTGGACAGTGAAATCAAGTGTGCCAATGACTATTGCCAAAAAAATCCCAATCTGATCACCCACACCAGAAACAGTTCTTGGCTGCTGACTCGAGTCACGGGAATAAAGGCTATAGTCACTTAGTGCAGAAAGTAGATGTAAAGTTATAAAGGAAAGAACCCCCTTCATTAGTACCTCCTGTGGAAACTTTAACTGCAACATTTTCATTACTCCCCATTGCTTTATATTTTTATTATCTTGGTCAAAGATTCTTTTGAAGATCACAAGTGTCCACGAAACATGGAACAATTTTCCATTCCTACAGCATACATGAATTAGATTATCCAACTTTTCCAAGACTGGTTTTACAACATGTGCTTGCTTTTCCTCTAGTGTCTCAACAACAAGAAAAAAATCATTCCAAAGTTTCACGAATTCTCTTTTTTCATTCTCTGGCCAACACAAATATTCAGACTTGAATTCTTTCACTGATAGTGAAGAGGAATAATGATCCACAAATCTTTTGAGGATATACTGACACCTCTTTCTTGACAGTGGGTTAGTGTGAACAAGGCCATACTGAATAATCTTCCACAAGGCACTATCGTTTCCTATGTGATATAAACATCCTCCTTCAAACATATATCCAGCTATGAAGCACAAAATGAAGAAGCCTGTAGCATTTTTCTCCAATATAACAAAGTCTCCATTAATTCTATAAAATTTTTTAACAATGTCCCACAGTTTCTGAAGAGTTTCACTCTTATCCTCACTCGTTACATCCAAATATGGTTGTATAATCAATGTGAGAAGTAAAGCTGTAATGTTAGTATCATGAGACATTTCAATCATTTTCAATGTAACCCGGATGACGGTCTTGATGGGTTGCAGAAGCACACCGTGTTGCATGCACCAGTCATCCTTTAACAGGTTGGTGAATATCAATGAAAGTATCTTAACTTTATGGCGGTCTTCATCTACCATTGTGTCAATATAATGAACAGTAATGTTTTTTGCTATATTGTCAAATAAATTTATAAATGGAATTAAATCATTCTGATTTACATAATGTGAATTATGAGCTTCAACATTTTTAGATGAAACATCAATTGATAATTGTGATTGAGATGTAAATGAGATTATTTTCAGAAACTCAACAATCAACCACGACAACTTTGAAGCCAACATCAGTTCATCAGTTTTATAAGTAACAGGTGATCCCTCGTGGTATTCCTGGGCATTATCATCCTTGAGATGCTGATCATTCTTTGTTAGCAGGTTAATTATGGTAGTCTCTGCCTCACTAGCTTGTGGAGGCATGTCCAGGTTACTACTGGACATGGTGGACACGGAGTACTTTTCAATAATCATATTCAAACGAGGTAACAAGCACTGCTGGAGTAATTCCCTATATACACTATGCAGTGTTCCATCTGAAACAGCAGATGTTTTCCTGAAGCTTTCCTTGGCTTCAACAATTTTCCTGAGTAACTCACAAGAACTAACTGAAAACTGAGCGCCATTTAGTATTTTCTTCAAGATGCTATGATATTCTTGGTCATCTAATAAGCCTAAACTAAACAGTTCATCAGCCATCACATAAAAGCATGTGTCAAACAATAAGTTTCTCTTGGTGGAATAAGCCAGGTAATAATTCTAAGCCACACTAACGTTATATAGCTATACAATGTTATAGCATTTCCCTTCAGATGAATGTGTTTTATTTCACTTCTCGACTCATCAATCACTTCATAAACCTGAAAAAAAAACTCGACAGGTATAAAATATCGTGAATGAGATTCTTCAGTATAAGTAAAGAGGATCAACTTCTGTGTATCTTATTATATGTATCTGCTGGCGAGTAAACTTTTTCTTGTCTTCACGACACAGACGAAGTTTTCTTTTCCTTCTCCTGATGACTGCTGCAGTTGTTGAAGTGTGAAGGAAAATGTTGCAAAATGTGTTGTTGTTATTGTTGGACAGAAAGAGTACACTCGGGTGGAGGAGCCGCACACAATCACCACCCGAATCCCGGCTTCGTCCGCGTCTCAGCTTCGCCCGCGATCCGAGTTCGCCAACGTTAAGATAAGATAAGATAAGATTTCGTTCGGATTTTTAACCCCGTAGGGTTAGCCACCCAGGATAACCCAAGAAAGTCAGTGCGTCATCGAGGACTGTCTAACTTATTTCCATTGGGGTCCTCAATCTTGTCCCCCAGGATGCGACCCACACCAGTCGACTAACACCCAGGTACCTATTTGCTGCTAGGTGAACAGGATAACAGGTGTAAGGAAACGTGTCGAAATGTTTCCACCCGCCGGGAATCGAACCCGGGCCCTCCGTGTGTGAAGCGGGAGTTTTAGCCACCAGGCCACCAGGCCACCGGGCCACCACGTTCCGGGTTCGTCAGGGTTCGCCCGCGTTCCGGGTTCGCCTGCGTCCTAGGTAAGCCTGCGTTCCTGGTTCGCCCGGGTCCAGGGTTCGCCCGGTTAGTTGTCCCGCTTGAGCAGCTCGTTTATTAAAAACAAAAAAAGCAAACAAACGTTTTATTTAACTGTGCCGTATAAAAATGTAGTTTACATGTAATAAAATATTAAGCCTGGTGGGTAAAGCTCTCGCTTCACACGGTGACGTCTGGGTTCGATTACCAGCGAGGGTAGAAACATTGGGCGTGTTTCTTTACACCGGTTATCTATGTTCACCCATCAATAAAATGGGTACCTGGGAGTAAATCGACTGGTGTGGGTCGCATCCTGGGACAAAGCTGACCTAATTTGCATGAAATCCACGGTACCTGACAGCCGGGCTGTGGTTCGTACGTTGGATTGCGTGCAGCCAGCAGTAACAGCCTGGTTGATCAGGCCCTGATCCACCATGAGGCCTTGTCACAGACCGAGCCACAAGGGCGTTGACCCCTGGAGCTCTCTCCAGATAAACTCCAGGTAATAACAAGCGGCTTTCTGTACAGTAGTATGTCACTGATGTCAGCTAGGAATGTACACCTTGTACATGTACTTGTAGTAAATAAAGATATTATTATAAAGAAAGTCACTAGCATGCAGTGCATTTCGGGCAAACTAATCCTAATGCACTACTTAAAATTAGACATAGGTATTTAGTGGTACAATTATAAGTATTCACTTTAAGGAGCTTATTCGTAGAATATTCAAGGGGTTACTAGTCGAACTATAGTAAATCAACCATTCAAATCGCATTATGAAGCTCTGTGTAGTCGGCAGTAAATCAAACAAACGGGCTTCCACATGGATTTCTTGCCATTTTTGTGAAAATTGGTGTCACGCCCCTTGTGCAGATATCCAAGAACTATCTACAAGCAGTATTAAAACAGGGAAGTGTTGTTGGGTATGCCCATATGAGATCAATCTGTGGACTAAAATCACATTGGTATTAAAAGAGGATAACATCAAAGCAGCATTCATAGAAAACCTGGAAGCATTCTATAACAGATGGGAAAATAAAAAGTCTGAGCTGGATGGTATCACCCTTGATGCTGGCCATGTAGTCAGAAACTGTAAGGCTGGAGGTGCTGTCCTGGGTGACAGTAATGGTGAAGCTGGAGGTGCTGTCCTGGGTGACAGTAATGGTGAAGCTGGAGGTGCTGTCCTGGGAGACAGTAATGGTGAGGATGGAGGTGCTGTCCTGGGAGACAGTAATGGTGAGGATGGAGGTGCTGTCCAGGTAGTCAGTAAATGTACGCATGAGGGAATGCATATGAATGACCTCGAGGGAGACAGGAGCTGTAGTGGGGAAACAAGTGTAGTCAAGGACAAGATAAAACCAATATTACAAACTAGTAATACCACAGGAGATAGCAAACAAGGGGACTCCACTATCAATAGTGTGGATATATTACCAGAAACAACTGGTGAGAGCTCCATTGTTAGTACTAGTGAGGATAGGAATGAGACAGGTAAACATGCACCAACAGGGAATACAGTCACAGAAACCCAAGGCAAACGGAAACCAAGTCTGTGCACATACTATACACTTAGTATCTGCAGGCATGGGAAATCTGGAAAAACAGATGGGACGTGCAACTATGACCACCCTAGAAAATGCCGTGCCCTTATGACAACAGGAAAATGCAAACTCATTTCCTGTAAGCTTTTTCACCATGAAATGTGTCCCTCTTCAGTACAGGAAAGACTGTGCTATAACTTAAATTGCCAGGCACACCATCTAAAGAGGACAAAAAGATACAAAACATCCAGGCCATGTGAAAACCTGGGTAGCCACAGCCACTCAAGAGGGAGACGTTTTTTTAGCGACAGGAAGGAAAAATAACTGGCAGGAAATGGCGGAAATTGTACGCCAAATCCAGTCATTTCAGGAGTGGAACCACAGTCGATGGCCTCCACTCCAAACCAACAGATACAGATACTAATGCCGGAAAAAAACCTCTCCCCCCACAGTACCACCAATACCACCAGTCCAGTGACATTCTTCTTTGCAAATATATATGTGACTGGTAGTTAAGTGTCAGCGTGCCTCGTTGTGCTCCCGGTTTTCTCGTGTTTTCACGGTGGCTCTTACGTGCTAGAACTTTAATTTGTGTCATCAATCCTATACGATACATCCCTCTAGCGCCTGGAACCAATCTTGGGCAGAAAACATTATATACTGAGTCAAAAAAGGAGAATTAGTGTGCACTGCGTAGCAGAGTTTACTGCCAGAGGGGAATCATAGGCCTGTTCCCGTGTGGAAAAAATAATAATAATTGAACTTTTCATGTCAGAGGAAAGAAAGTCTCCCTGATAACATTGAGTATACATAGTGTATAGTGTATACTACAGTGGCTCCCTAGTATATTGATGATAAAGGCTAAAGTGTCATTTGAAAACAGGTGAATTTGTAAATGAAGTGATAAGCCTATAGAGGAAGGTGCCAGAAGTCGCCAGAAACTTACCACAGGTCAGCTGTTTTTAATAATCTTACTGGCCTGCTAGTGTACTCGCATATAATCTAGTGATACCAGTGAATAGCAGAATACAGTGTTGTAGTAGCAACTAACCAGTATTATAATGGTA